AGTAAGTTTTCTTCAATTTTATAATGTATATGTTAACTTTATTAGTTTTAACATTAGAAAAAACTATAGGAATATAAACAGGTTAGATAAGGAGAATTACTCGAAAAAATTGTAAAGCAGAGCATACATTTTCAAAAGAGAAGCCAAATCCATAAAAGAAAGCAAATCAATCAAATGAGCATTTCCACTGTTCCCTCCATAATTGGAATCCTTAATCACACCTCAAATTCAAATTCAAATTCAATTTCATATTCCAAATCCAAATCTAATGACATTCCAAACCTTCGTAAAAACATCATCAATCTCTTACACCAGAATCACAAAGACATCAAACATGTTCAATCAATACACGCCAAATCCATAAAAAACGCAACACAAAATGACCCTTTTGTCCTTTTCCAACTTCTCAGACTTTACTGCAACTTAAACTCCATTCACCATGCCACCAAGCTCTTCCATTGCACTCACAACCCTAACGTTTATCTCTACACTTCCCTCATTGATGGCTATGTGTCCTATGGTTTATACCATGATGCCCTTAACTTGTATACTCACATGGCAAACCATGATGTTTTGCCTGATAACTACGCTGTTACTTCAGTTTTGAAGGCTTGTGTGTTTCAACGTGCTTTGGGGAATGGAAGAGAGGTTCATTGCCAGGTTTTGAAAAATGGGTTGGGTTTGGATAGGTCAATAGCGTTGAAGCTTGTTGAGTTGTATGGAAAATGTGGGGAATTGGATGATGCGAGGAAGGTGTTTGATAAAATGCCTGAACGGGATTTTGTTGCGAGGACCATTCTGATGGGTTTGTGTTTCGATCATGGTATGGTTGAGGAGGGGGTTAGGGAGTTTGGTGAGATTAATACCCGGGATGCGGTTTGTTGGACTGCGGTGATTGATGGGTTGGTGAGGAATGGAGAATTGAATAAGGGTTTGGAGATGTTTAGGGAAATGCAAGTGAAGGGTGTGAAGCCTAATGAAGTTACCTTTGTTTGTGTTTTGTCTGCGTGTTCGCAATTGGGAGCTTTGGAGCTTGGGCGATGGATCCACATGTACATGCGCAGGTGCAATGTCAAGGTTAATCGGTTTGTTGCTGGCGCGTTGATTAACATGTATTCGAGGTGTGGTGACATTGATGAGGCACTTGTACTGTTTAATGAGATGAAATTGAAAGATGTGTCCACTTATAATTCCATGATTGTTGGGTTGGCTTTGCATGGGAAGAGTATTGCAGCAATTGAATTATTTAGAGAAATGCTTAATCTGAAGCTTAGGCCAAATAGTATAACTTTTGTTGGTGTCTTGAATGCATGCAGTCATGGCGGGTTGGTAGAGCTGGGTTACGAGATATTTCAGTCAATGGAAACGGTTCATGGCATTGAACCACAAGTAGAACACTATGGCTGTATGGTTGACATTCTTGGTAGGGTAGGCAGGCTCGAACAGGCCTATAACTTCATCGGGAGAATGCGAGTACAAGCTGACGATAAAATGCTTTGTGCTTTGTTAAGTGCTTGTAAAACCCATAGAAACACCGAAATAGGAGAAAAAGTTGCAAATCTTTTGAGCAGCTGTTCTACCATGGATTCTGGATCATACATCATGCTATCAAATTTTTATGCTTCAATAGGAAGATGGAACTATGCTGCACAAGTTAGAGAAACAATGGGGAAAGAAGGAATCTCGAAGGAACCGGGTTGTAGTTCTATTGAAGTCAATAGTGTATTACATGAATTTTTCGCCGGAGATGTTAGACATCCTGAGAGGGAAGGAATCTACAAAAAGTTAAAGGAGTTAAATTATCTGACAAAGTTGGAAGGTTATTCACCAGCAAGAGAGGCGGCTTTACATGACATCGATGATGAACAAAAGGATCGAGCTTTGGCAGTACATGGTGAGAGGCTTGCAATAAGCTATGGACTGATCTCAACTGAACCATACACAGCATTGAGAGTTGTAAAAAATTTAAGGATATGTGATGATTGCCATGCGATGATCAAGCTCATAGCGAAGATTACTAGCCGAAAAATTGTGGTCAGAGATCGTAACAGATTTCACCATTTTGAAAATGGAGTTTGTTCTTGTAAGGATTACTGGTGAGGATTGAGGAATAGAGAGTTTGAGTATATATTCAGACACAATTGTTGCAAACCTGAAATGTATGATTGAGTTGTAGAGAAAGACAAGTTACATAAAAGATAAAACCAACAAGGGAATTAAGACTTAAATCAACCAATCTTATGGTATTTTGATTTTATGACCTTGTTTCTAGTAGTCTTATATCACCATATTACATAAAATATAATTTAATTCTCGTTTGATTTTCTCACTTTGTCTAGCATATGAACATCACCACTATCCACCTTCATACTACTAATGTAACACCCCAATACTAACATGCGACCCCTTCCTCTCTCGGACCCATGAATATATTGAGCGTTTTATCCTAACAGCTTATTGAATACCTTGCAGTATTTTATTTCTTATTTCCCACAAAGGGGAGCCCCTGTGACTTGAACCTGTGACCTCATAGCTTAATGGTAGCGACTTATGGTAATAATGACTATTTGTTCATGAGGTTACGGGTTCGAGTTGCGGGGCTCCCATTTGTGGGGAATAAAATACTGCAGGGGTATTTAAGCCGATAGGATAACACGCTCAGTGTATTCATGGGTCCGAGACAAGGAGAGATCACATGTCAGGAATAGGGTGTTACAACTTAAATCTTAAATTATAAAATCCTTCCATATAATATTCATAATAACCTTGGTGTGTTCAATTTCATATATAATAGCTTAAATTCCAAAATCCCCTTTGTAAACCATAAACCCCAAATCCTAAAATCCAATATTCTTAATCTTATATTACACAATTGTAGTAAAGGCAGAAAATCATAATTTAAATCACTATTAGAAACCAAAATGGTATTACATAAATTATCTCAGGAACATGCATAACTTGATTAACGAACATGCATAATTAGTTTGGTTCAGGCTTGGCAAACAAAATGGACGCTCTAGTTAAATTCTAAATGCCACAAACAAATTCTAAGCATAACTCCTGGTTGCATTTAAATAAAATTATTAAGACTGTAAAACCAGTAGGAAATTCATTGATAAGGAAAACTTACAAGGACTAAAGTAGGATATCTGGAACAACTATGATCACAACAGCTATGTCAAAATTTTGCTTGAATGATGGATTTTCACATGTTAGTAGATACTTACTCCATGTTTGGTATAATTAAAATTTTGAGTTTCTGCTTATTTTTTAAAAAATAAGCTTAAAATGTAAACTATGTATGTTTCATAACCAAATGAAATTATAAAATCAGTTTTTTTTATAAAATAAAGCAAAAGTAAAAGTTCCAAAATCATAGGTTGATTTATTTTTTGTTAGCTTATTTTTTCCTCCAATTTTCCACTTCCCATTTTACCTATTTGTGAGATTATTAAAACTTGACATTTGTGTATTATTTATTTTGTGAATTGTGTAATTCAAGTTTAACAACTTCTATTTATTTTTGTATCATGTTGTTTTTTAATATTGATATTGATTTTTATATTGTATTTTATTTTAATATATTTTTTTAGCTTTTGTTATGCAATATTAAAAATTAAAAAATTTATAGTAAAAATATATATGATGGTAAATATTTAAAAAATAGTGCAAAAACTACCAAAATAATCATAAATAAACAAATAACATCATACAATTTTCTGTAATTTATTATGTAAAAAACAATATTTTTACCTTATCCAACCAAAACAGATTAATTTATATACATTTTAACTAAAGTACAAACATAAAAATATTATAATATTAACAAATTATAATCTCATAAACCGAAATTAAAAACATAATTAATAACAAACTCACCCTAATTCTTATTCTTACATTACTTTGTCCTTACGACATAAACATAAACCTCAAGTTCACAATAATGAAGGTTATGATATGCAAATTAAAGAATAACATGGACTAATTAAGAGAATCTAACTTGCATAAATTGATACTTTATATCCACTACAATTTTAAGTGAAAATTTACCACCCAGCCTCTGTTACAAAATAGAATAGCAGCCACAATAATGAGGATAACAAGTTTATTATAATAAGAAACTCATAAATCAAGCAAACACATTGAAAAAGTTGACCAGATTCTCAACAATTCCAGCAAATAACATGCTTATTACCTTAAACAAATCCATCCACAATGAAAAAGGTCAAGTAAATAAAAGCACATGCTAACTATTAACATGGAGGACAATGTGCATACAATAACAGTGGTTTTACTTCTCTCGTGCATAGTGTTGTTATAGAGTAATTATTATATGAGAAAAAAAAACTTTACTACCTAATAGTCTAACAAGAGAATGGAGATTTCCAAAAAAAATCTTAAACATTGACTAATAAAAAACTCAAGGATTTCAACATATTTGGAGAAATAAAAAATCAAGTGACTATTGATTTTTATTCAGAATATAGAATCGAATATTGGAAGAAACTTTAATTTGAGTTAGTGTTGAAGCTCGACACGGCAATGAGAATGAAGCTTGAAAAAAAAAGAGAGAATGAAGCTTAAAACGACGATGATTCAACTCACCAAAAACCCTAAAATAGTAAAACCCTAAAAGTTTTACTAAGCCATAAATAAAGCCAAATATTGCTTTGCTTCTTTCCATTGTGGGACTATTAGTGTGTTCGTGCGAAGGTACATAAATTTTCGTTTTCGTTTCATCACCAAAGATTTTAGCGAACTTAAGAAGTATCCGAACATTTCTTTTAAAGAAGATCTGAATTCAAAACGATATTAAATTCAATTATCATTATTATTTAATAACATATAATTCTTTATCAATCAACAACTATACATGGATGTATGTTACGTTATTGGTAAGTAAAATCAAACTCTTTTGAACACTATTCCAAGATGCATTACATTTCAACAATGGGTGAAAGAGAACAAAACCTAGCACAAACAATGCACTCATATTACCATGACAAAGAAAAAAATACTAATGTGAACTATTCCCTCCTTTAATGGAGAACTTAGGTGGAATAAGAACACACATAATTACACAAATACACACATGTACACTTTATATACTACCAGTCTACCATACGAAGAAGGACATTCCTCCAATGCTCCAACCAAACATAATGATTCAATATACGCTTCAACATTGTTGATGGCACAATGATGTCATCCCAAGAAGCCCTAGATAAAAAGATATATATAAAATATTTTAGGAACAAGCATAAATTTATTAACCAAGAGGTAATAATATTATGTTTTTGTTAGTATCCACAATAACTACAATTGCTACGCATCGGTTACAACTTCCCAAAATTGAAATAAATGCAATATAATCACAATTTAAAACATTGAGTTACTCTTGCAGAAACGTTGATCTCATAAGATGATAAGACCAATCTTATATCTATTAAGTGAGATGACAAAAATAAACCCATAAAAACAATGATCTTTCATGACTAATTTTAATTTGTTACACGTTGGGGCGAAAAATCCTTAATAAAAAATCATTTAAGGTAAGTCAAAGGAACTCCAAAAGAATAAAATTGAAGATTAGAATTAAAGCGTTTTTAAAATAAAACTTTTTTGACTGAACTCCGCATTTATGAGAGCTTGTTAATTGTGACACATTGTGTTTTTTTAAATCAACACAAGCATTCATCATGTTCCTGATTATATAAACATGGTTACTAACTTTAAACAAAAACTACATTAATTACTTGGACGTATAATATTCTAAATATCCATCATACACATTACACAAGCATGAAAGCAAGGTGGGAAAGAATGAAGTACTACCAATAAGATCTTCTCAATTTTCTTACCATTTCTTTTTTGGAACAAACAAGTGACACTCATAAATTGAAGGCCTGTAACAATTTGTCTCTACACATTACCATTGAAAATGTGTCTAAACATTAAAAACTTCAAAAAAAGTAAAAAAAGAGAAGGAAGATAAATCCATGTACTCTGACTTTGAAAATGACAATGGTGTCCTTTGATGAATTATTGGCATATATATAGACTACTTCACATATATATATATGTGTATATGTATATATATACTGTATATCATCTCAAGATTGAATGCATTTTATCTTAAATAATAATATTCAGTGAAAATATATGGAAAGTGAAAACAATAAAGTTTGAGGATAGAATCATACAATTATAAATTGATGGTCTAAATTAAAATATGCTCAATTATCACATAACCAATATTTATTTTGACATTCAAATATGATTTATTGTGAGTGAGGGAGTCTCCAACCACCGGGGAGTTCCACTGTTACCGAGGTATGGGAAGAGTGTAGATCTATAAGTGATGCACCACGTCTTGAACAAAAACTTTAAGACATTAGTTCCATGAACCTTTTCTAATTATAAACTCTTTTACTTATCCCCGCATATTCAATGTGAGACTTCACACTTGAATAAACCCAACAATTTGTATTTCTATGTAATATACATGGATATGTTCACACTTGAATAAAACTCTCATATACACAAATAAAACTCTCATATATGAAATATGCTTGGCTCCATATACGCCATCCACGGAAGCCATTAAAGTTCTAATGAGCTCTGAAGATGGCATATAGGGAGCCAGGCATATACAATATATGTATGCATGGTGTGACCTACATGTACATGAATAATTAGAGTTGCCAAACTATATAGTATATATCTTAATTGACCTCGCCCCAACTAAAACTAATCTGGCATAAAATGTAAGTATTCATGCTACCGAGATGCATATATAATATGTATATCAATTATCGTGGGAAATTTTCTTCCACATGCATGAGTAAATGCAAGGAAAAGTATGATGATGCGATGATGTTTTTTCTCCCTTCATCACGAGGAAGATGAAGCTAGAATTAATGCATAGAGAAGGAGTGAGAGTAATGGAAGAGAAGAAGAGAACTAGGTATAATTATTGAGATTGAAGAGAATAGGGAAATCTATTTCAGATGGCCAGGGAAGAATTAAACTAGCTAGGTTATAATGAAATGGGGTTTGAAAGCTCCACAAAACAAGCAAAGCAATAAAAATTTGACAAAATGAAAGTGGATTAAGGTGTGGCTAATATTAGTGGGGTTTGGGTGTGATTTTGAGAGGGAAAGAAGGAATAATATGAATATGTGGGGTTATAGTTTCACCCTAAATCCATGCCCCCCTCTAAATATAGACACCAAATCAAGGAAGAATGGAGAGAGAGAGAGATGGGGTGAGTAATGAGTTGAACCACTCAAATTCCTAAGCTAATTAACCTTTATGGTGTTTGAAAACTCATTTTCTAGGTATAAAGCTGAGTGTGCTTTCCCTTCTCTGAAGCTCATTTTGTCTGAGAGTGTTTGGAAGAGAGATTCCTCACCACTCAACTTTAATTCTTTGAATAAAAATAAAGCCAAAAGAGTAAAATATGAGCATTATGGAATAATGTGCCTTCTTTTTATATATATTTTCACATCTGTTTCTGTATTTACTTTTCCTTTTCCTGGGTTCTCTTTCTTTTTTAAACTTGCATATTATATTTCCATATAATACTACTTAATTTGTCTCAGGGACAGCTTTGCACAACTACTTTTTGTTTTGATTTTGGAATAATCAATGTCCACCTTGTCACCTAATTCACTACTGCTAAACTCAGACAGCAACTCCTACAAGCTCTTAATTGAGTGTTTACTTTTTGTCAAACCAAATTATAAACATTTTTTTCTATAAAGTATTATATAGTTAATGTGCATCAAAGATTTTAAATAGTGGTTGTAGTAAGTTTTAGGTGATATTTGAATTGATAAAATATTATCTTATTTAGGATTAAGATAGTTTCATTTTATTTGAATTTGTCTATAATTTATGTTTATCTTGTTAGTTATTAGTTGAGTCGTTATTATCTTATCAATTGTATTGATTTTGTCTATATAATAAATTGTTTGGACTAACTCATATTTGAGTTGCCAAATTTTTTACAATCCTAAACTTTTACTTGGTGTCAGAGCAGACTTATCCTCCATGACATCTCCCGTCATTATCTCGCTGCAGAGGTGTCGAAAATTCGGAATTTCGATTATTTACATTCTTCTAATAAGTATTCGATCAATTTTTCATCAATATGATAATTTCAAATTTCATGGCATCCTAGTTCAAATAAATAAGCACCAATATGCTACAATTCAATAATTCACTTTCTTCCTTTATTTATATATGATAATTTTTACAATAACAACCATTCTGATAATGTTTTTTCCTCATTAATAAATTAATTTCAAATTTCAATTAGTTACATTCTTCTTGTAAGTATTCTCATCAAATTTTCATCAATATGATAATTTCAAATTTCATGGCATCCTCGTTCAAATAAACAAACACCAATATGCTACAATTCAATAATTCACTTTCTTCCTTTATTTATATATGGTAATCTTCACAATAACAATCTTTCTGATAATGTCTTTTCCTCATTAACAAATTATGCTAGTAATGACTTCTTTTACCATCGGTGTCATTCTGATGATTATACTATTGTTCTATTCCCACTAATGTTCACTCTGGTGTTGCATTTTCTCCAATTGACGAGTTACCCTAATAATAATGATTTCTTTCCCATCAACGACCATTCCGATAGTGATTTACCAATGATTTCTTTTCCAATAGACGGTCATTTTGGTGGTGCCTTTTCCCTAGTGATGAATAATATTTGAACTCATTTCTTTTCACATCGTCAATCATTCTAATGTTGATTATATCCGTAGACTTTGCAATTCACAACACCTATCGACGATCTTTTGTAGAACTCACATGATTATTTGGTTATTTTTATTTTTAAATGAATTATTTGTAACAAACAAAAGTTATTAAGCTTTAGCTTGAAGGAGCATGTTAGATGATATTTGGATTAATACAACATTATCTTATTTATAATAATTTAGTTTCATTTCATTTGAATTTATATATAGTTTACGTTAATTTTATTATTTATTATTTAAGTCGTTATTACCTTATCATTTGTAACCGTTTTTGCCTATATAATAAATTGTTCAGATTGGCCCATATTTAAGTTTTACCAATTTTTATTATCATAAAATTCTACACCAATGTCGAGAAATATAAATATCATGATGTTATAGATAATGATTTAAATACATGTTGGACTACTTCTCTCATTGACAATTGGTTTTGAGATGAAACCTTAACATGGTATTAGAGCCAGAGCTCAACTTCATTCTGGTTGTCATGGGCCAAATGATGCCATTTAGTTATGAGTCAAATGTAACCCTTCGCCTGGTCTTGCAGTCTTATGTGGAGGGGGCATGTTGGGAAGTAAGTCTCACATCGCCTACCTCATTCTTTCGGGCATGATTTAAATACATGTTGGGCTACTCCTCACATTGTCAATTGGTTTTGAGATAAAACCTTAACATGATATCAGAGTCAGAACCCATTTTCTTTTAAGTTGTTATGGACCAAAAGATGTCATTTAGTTATGTGTCAAGATAACCATTCGTCTAGTCCGACAGACTTATGTGGAGGGAACATGTTGGGAAGTAAGTCCCACATCGCCTACCTCATTATCTCAGAAATAGTTTAAATACATGTTAAACTACTTCTCTCATTACCAATTGGTTTTGAGATGGAACCTTCCAAGCAAATGTTACTGATGTAACCTTAGTTGTAAATGCCATGATATTTCTACAATTAAAAACCTTAACAGATTGGCAATTGTAGTGATTCTAGATTCAAATTTTAAAACCGAGTTGTAACAATTGGAAATGTGACATGAATCTCTAATTTATGAAATTTAACTCACCATAGTTAATTAGTTAGGATAGAGTGAGTTTAGAACACACTAAAGTTATGCTCATAAGTTGTTAAAATACTAGTTGGAACAATAATGGCAAAATAAGAACTTGCTCTTCCTAGCATTGTTTGTAGATAAGGATGACAACGGGATGGGACGAACACATGTAATGTTTACCAGTAATCATACCACACTATTTTACACATTGAATGTGATCTTCTTGAATAACCGCCATGAGTGATGGAATGCATTTCATCTCACACTTTCAACTAAATGATCAATTTTATTGTGGTGTTATATATTACTATAAAAGAATATTTTTATGGTGTTATCTTTGTTTTAATCAATTTTATTTTCTACTTCAATAAGGAAACCAAATATTATCACAAAACAACTAGAGAGGTAGACTAATGCAGAATATAAGAAGTTCTGAAGTTTTAAAGCTCTATTGTTCTATTGGTTATAAGGTTAAAGTTGTAACTCCCACCTGTTTTTTATTAGAGTAAATTACACTCATACCCCCTGAGTTTTAGTGAAATTACACAAACCACCCCTCACTTTTTTTGTCCTTACACGAACCACCCCTAATTTTGTACATATGTTACACTGACTACCCCTGCATAATATAAAAGTGTAATATTTTCAACAAAAAAACGTATGATGTGAAATTAATTAAACAAAATATTGTATATTGTGTAGAAAAATTCAAATAATATAAGAGTAAATACGTCTTCATTATTTGGCTCGTTATAAAATAGTACAAGAGTTATATAAACATTTATTTGAAATTATTAATGTATTTTTTAATTACACAAAAATAATAAAGAAACACTCGTTTTTGTACTATTTGAAGTGTTACACAATATACAAAATTTTGTTTAACTTAATTACATTCATCACACGTTTTTTCTTTAAAATATTACATTTTTATAAGATGCAGGGGTAGTCAGTGTAATGTATGTATAAATCTAGGGGCGATTTGTGTATGAGAGAGGTGTGGTTGGTGTAAAGACAAAGAAGGGATGAGTGGTTTGTGTAATTTCATTAAAACTCAGGGGGTGTGAGTGTAATTTACTCTTTTTATTATTATTTTGATAAATATAAAATTTAAAAGTTGTACTATTATAAAAATGAAAAACTTTAATGGATAAATCTTTTAGTATTCTTTTTAATAAAATTTTTAAAAGTATATTTAATAGAAGACACATAGCTCTATGATCATTAGACCTTCTAGCTTCTAATTATTTATGTTTGAAGAGATGAAGAGTTAAGGATTGTGCACGAGTGATAAAATCATGTTTTGGATCAACAACATTAGGGTCTATTTTTGTACATAATTTTCTGGTTCAAACATTAGGAACCTTATCATTTGTTTAAATGTATTATAGCATTTTTCCTTGGGAATTTGGTGAAAGAAAGAGAGTAATTTTTATATAGGGTGCTGTTATTACTATTGACAACTTGATGTTTGATATTGTTGTAAATGTGTTTGCTCTAATTTTCAACTAAATTAATGTAGTGACGGTTGAGAGTGATTTTTTTTAAGGAAAATGCTAACTAGAACATATTAAAAAGTATTGCGTCATGTTTATATTGTTGATTTTGTATTTTATATTTCTACCTTTGTATAATGTTTATATTGTTGATTTTATATTTTGTATTTCTACCTTTGTATAATTGGCTAACCCAATGGATTGGAAAAAACTCAAATATGTAAAAACTCTTTATATTCATGCAATTTTAGTGTAGATAGATAAATAAATGACAAACATGAGTTATTTACTTCGTTTTAAGTTATTTCGTAGACTTTAAAAAATGACTAAAATCATGTTTTGTGTTCTTTTAGAAATGATGAAAAGGATGAATGTGATATTATTTCTATAATACTTTAGTTAGACTTGTATTTTTGATTGTTTAGTTAGTACTTCTACAAATAGTTGATTACTTAAAATTGGATAATTCAACAATTTATCACTAAGAGAGTTGTAAGGTAGTCAAGTGGTAAGGGTGAAAGATTTAAGAAGTGGAATAATAAAGAGGTTGATAGTTCAAATCTCACCCACCACAAATTACTCCAACTATTAACATTTTACTATAAAAATAATAATTTATCACTTCATATTATTGATTGTGAATTTTTTTATACTTTTGT